TTGACAGATGCCTGTATGTCGCTTATGACATTTTCAAGTAAGCTTGCATATCAAAGTTCCGAACCACAATATTTGGTCTATCTTTCCGATCCACTAACGGTGCTTTTAGGTATCTCAAGCACCGGTCATCGTTGTCGTCGAACCCGTCGCTTGCGACGAAGGGCGAGTAAATCAACCCACAGACACAGCCCACTAAGTTTCTCGTCGGATCTTCAAAATGGGTTGCATTTCCGACCCGATGGTATATTTTGCGAAGCACTGCTCTTGCTAGGGTTGGTGTTAGCAACGTCGTCAGGTGTCAGCCCCGTGAGCTCACTACTTGTTAGGCTACGCTGACAGTCTCAAGGCAGGAAAAAAATTATAATATTTGGACCAACAATACTGACGCATTGCACAATCATAAGTATTCATGAAACAGAATGAACTTCTCAAAATGAAATATGTATAGATATAATTATAGATATTAGCATAAAAGTGTATCCACGATAGAGACGAGAGTACGAGTTGAGTGCCTTGGGAGAGACATATGTCCATCAGTGGACTAATATTAATGATGATGAAATCCAAAAGAAGCATTTATAGTAAAAAATAATAACTCACTTGATTTTAAGCAAATATAAGAAGGGAAAAATAGTTTTTCACAAAACAACAGCGTGAAAAATCTAGCATTTTCTATTTGGATTCTCCTTTTAAGTAGGTTGTTGTCTGGCACCCCACACTTATGAATAAGCAAAACTCATAAGCACTCATCTCGCCATCTTGAAATTTGAACATCACACTCCCCAGCTCGTCACGATTGGTGTTTACTTTTCCGACAAACTCTACATTACTCCAGAACCTTTGAAAGCAGTGTTATTGAACGAATGATAGAAAAATAAAATAAAAAAAGAGTTTGATTAGTTGGAAACTCAAAATAGAAAGAAAAAAATATATAGAAATTTCGATTGTCGACAAACAAAATGGCCGTCTTGTTGGCGCCAAATTAAACCGCGTAGTGTATGATATCGTTCTTTGATCTCTATCCCTGAGGAGTGTTTGTACAGCGCCGCGTCTGTCTGTTTGTCCTCAACGCGTTGAAAGGAAGCTCGTGAATGGCTGAGGACGTCTGTCTTTCAATAGAAGATTTATATCGGCGGAGTACCCCGTCAACTATAGCGTGGCAATTTGTGGATTGTAGATAGGTGCTAGTGATAAACGATGCGTCTCGAGAAATACCGCGAATGGGAGTTTTTGTTTGTACTTGAACGAATTTTTAAGAGACATTCTTGTATATATATTTGTTTTATCGTGTTTTGTGTTTATATATGTATTTATCGTTTGGGCGAACTACTACTGAGAGAACGTTTTAAAATTCAGGGGCTTAAAGCCAAGTTCACAGTTTTATTTATCAATGATACTTTTATAGAAAGAAATATAAGTACATAAAAAAATTGTGAAATTAATTTTAAATTCTGTGTAGGATATAAAAGTAGTAGATTTTGATAGTTCGATTTGAATCACGCAAGAGCTAGGGAACGGATCGGTTCTAAATTTTATGAGTCAGATACGTGCATTAGCTCGATTAAATTTTTACGTCACTCTGAGGATAGATAAATTAAAATGGTGGAATATGAATATCGATTGGATACCGCCTTCAATTGTAGTTGAAAATTGTTATGTAAAACATTCAAGAGGAATTAATGCGAATTCGTCTTTAAATATTGCACAATTTTTAATGCAATTGACATCGGTTACGGGAACAATTCGTTGCATCGGTCAATAGGAAAATGCTTACTAAGGTATTATAGTATATAATATGTATTGTATTGAAATTACAAATAAGTTATGACCGATTTTTGTGACGAGGCTTGAGGGAGGCATATGTCCAGCAGTGGACGTCTGTGACGACTGATAGTGAGAGAGAGACAGAGATATATAACTACTTTAAGTAGGGTGCTAGGTGTAGGGTCTGTAAATGAATCCGAACACGTCGGTCCCAAAGAATAAATGCTGTATTTACTCTTTAAGTCAGAACCAGTGTCCCACCTAATCCTTCCAAGAAACTATCTTAGGGTTTTGTATATTAAGCATATTATAGTCCTTATTTTATTATAAACTAGCTGACCCGGCAGACTTCGTAGTGCCTCAATCGATAAATAAAAGACCTAAACTTTTGTATAAAATAAACTTAAAACAAACAAAAGGAATCCATCCAACGGGGGACACATCAAAGGAAAAACCAATTTATTATTTTTAATTAATTACGAGCATTTTCATATGTATCTACCTTTTAAACCTTCTCTGGACTTGCATAAATAATTCAAAACCAAAATTAGCCAAATCGGTCCAGCCGTTCTCGAGTTTTAGCGAGACTAACGAACAGCAGCAATTCATTTTTATATATATAGATGTGGTTTCCACCGGATTTTATCCATGAAGTCCTGCGATCACTTAATACCGAGTAGGGGACAAGCTTGGCTGGTCTTCTAAGCTAACAAAAATCATTATCAAATCCATACTACATATTTATCAAATAATAATTTAGATAAAATTTTAATATTAGGAGAATTTACAAAAAATAAATAATGAAATAGAGGCCAGACAGTTAGGAGCAATAAACGAGTTCCAATGAAGTCCATGAGATTATTATTATCGAGTTTAAAATATTATCGAAGGCAATTTTTTCTTTTCCATTGGCTTTACGGCCCCTAGTGGGCTTTAGCCGTTTATTTAATGTAGACAAATCAAATAACAATATTAACAGAATAATTATTCAATAAATCCACCAATTTATTCCGAACGCGATCATAAATAGGCAATTTGTCAGTAATCCGATAGACCAGCATGCGTCTAGGATTGATGAGGCGCTTTTCAACGTCAATCTTCATAATGACGAACTAATAACACTGACTTTAGTTTTGGGATTCGCTTAGAAAATTATTTTTTTAATGACAACTTTGGTAATATCGTTGTAGTTTGAAACAAACACCTATACAAAGACATTTTTTACTGGTGGTACGACCTCTTGTCAGTCCGTATGGGTAGGCACCACCACCCTGCCTATTTCTGCCGTGAAGCAGCTATGCGTTCCGTATGAAAGGTGGGGCAGCCGTTGTAACTATACTGAAACCTTAGAACTCATATCTCAAGGTGGGTGGCGACATTTACGTTATAAATGTCTACGGGCTCCGGTAACCACTTAACACCAGGTGGGCTGTGAGGTAGGTACCTCTCGCCTATACAACCAAGGTTCGACCTCATGTCTCAAGTTACTCCGATACCCACTGGACACTAGAAGGGACATTAATGCGATCATCCATATCTATATAATATATTTAAAAATGAATTGCTGTTCGTTAGTCTCGCTAAAACTCGAGAACGGCTGGACCGATTTGCCTAATTTTGGTCTTGAATTATTTGTGGAAGTCCAGAGAAGGTTTGAAAGGTAAATAAATATGAAAATACTCGGAATTAATTTATTTAAATAAAAAGAACAATTTTTTTCCTTTGGTGTGTCCCCCGTCGGACGGATTCCTTTTGTTGGTTTTAAGTTTATTTTATACAAAGTTTAGGTCTTTTATTTCTAGATTAGGCATAGAGGCACTACGAAGTCTGCCGGGTCAACTAGTAAATAATAAAAAAGGTATAAGGATTGAACAAAAATGAAAGCACACCAATCAACACATAATCAATCAAATTTGATATAAAATACACAATAGACAACATTCATATATTTTCAAATAACAACTAGATATAGGAGTAATATATTCCACACAAAAGCTTGCATGATGTGAGTTATAGTGTAATTGAGGTCAACTATTGTATAAGTAGACAGCATTCTCGCTGTTAATGCTGGTTCGTGTGTTTTAGCACCTTTTTTTGATTGCTTAGATGAGCTCGCCCACGGCCCATTTGGTATGAAGCGGTTACCGGTGCCCATAGACATATACAATGTAAATGCGCCACCTAATTTGAGCTATGAGTTCTAATGTCTCATGTTTTACAATACAACAGCTGCCCCACCTTTCAAACCGAAACGCATAACTGCTTCACGGCAGAAATAGGCAGGGTGGTGGTACCTACCCGTGCGGACTCACAATACTTCCTACCACTAGTAAATAACTTCTTCGTCAATACGTAAATAAAGGTTTATTTGGGATACAGTTTAAATAAAAACAGTCGTCATATCTTAGGTATTGGGCCGAAAATGCATTACTTTTTTGCTGATTACTTCAACTGCGGAGCATCACATGCTCTAGATTGACGTTTGAAAAGTCTTAGAAAATACGTGAAGCAAAAACTTTGTATCCCTGTTTACGAAAATTGCGCGGACGGAGGAGTATGAAATTTTCCACACTTATAGACAATATAGAGAAGAAGTGCACAATGCTAATATTTTTTTCAAATAATGCCTAAAAGATACATTATATCAATAAAGAAAACATTACACACACTACATACCATGAGTTTGACGCACACACGCATGCATACTATATTTTACTGTCAAACTTTTGTTCTTGACGTCTGTGGTCAAATTGAGAATAGATTAAATATTGTTTGTCTTTATTAATATTTTTTTATAGTGTAGCCTTGGCGAAATTTGTGATTATAGAAGTATAAAATACAATCATATTAGTGTACAAACTTACAATTCCAATTATAGTCGAATTTCGACTACTTCGGGACCTCTAGTACAATAAAAAAGGACATTGATATCAATTTTCATAATAGGTACTAAAGGTTGTTTGCCACTGCTAATAAGGTGTTCTGTTTGTTTGATCTTGGTAGGTTGATTTACATCATAAGAATTAAAAAATATTAGTTATTGAAACTAGTAATGAAAAGTAATTTAATCAGAAAATGATTTTTCAAATTACACACCTATTAGATTCCTTGGAACCTTGGATTCCTTATATGAATAAATAAAACTCAAATTACCCCAAACAGCTTTGACAAGCATTGCAAATTCAAACTGGACATTATAAATCGGTAAATTTAACGTATAGTGTTTTCTAAAACAGCCTAGTCACGGTGACGAAACGGAAGTGACGGTGGAGATGCGCGTGCGTCGTGCTTCCGGCCGCGTGCACACCAAAATGGCGGCTGTGCGCTTCCGGTTAGGAGAGGAAGTCGCCTAGGGTGGCTCGGCGTATAAATTATAGCAAGGGATGCATTGTCGCTCCAAGCTGCTAAACTATTGTCGCGAATGAATGTGTAAGCTATTTATCTAATAAAAAAATTTACTTGCCTTGTTTTGAAAAAAGAAATGTAATTGTCCAAAGAAAACATCATTACAACATTCTTATCACGAGAACTTTTATTAGACGCTATGTATGTACATATTTCGAAATCATAGAGAGAGAGAGAGAGAGAGAGAGAGAGAAAATATACTTTATTGCACACCAAAACACAATTAACATCAGAAAACAGTCAACAAGCAGATACGTTTGTACAATAGGCGGTCTTATCGCTAAAATCGATCTTTTCCAGACAACCGTTTAATTACCCGAAATTCTGGACAGATAAAGATATAGCAGGTATGTTGCGGTGTACTATTAACAACACATTATCACATCATAGTTCTCGTGTATATTTTTTTCAAATATTTTTAGCTCTGTAGATCTCCCTCAATGTATATTTTTTTAGTGTTGAGTGAACGTATTGTGAGTCCGCTAAAGTAGAAAACGCCATTAAACGTGTTATTGGCGCGGGGAACTCAGGCGTCCCTGCTAGAACAGTGCTTTCAAGTTCTAACTCAATTAAGGCGTCATGTCTTGAAGAAGGCGGCAGACTCCACATAGCTATATCTATTGTCTACGGAAATCGCTAAACAACAGGCGGGCAGTAAGCTCTGCATTTATTAGATGATTTTCATCAACAGCTTATAGACAAATGTTGGACAAATACCTTACCAACATTGGCCACAGCAATCGGTCGCTACGTTGCCGTATCCAGCGGATTAGGTAATAAAAATTGCTGGTACGATGTGGGGCAGGCTGGTCTTCGCGAGCATAAAGCCTTTTAGTAGCAAGAAAGGGAGCAGGATCGGTAAAATGAAGGGATCTCCTTTCAGATGTAGGAATACAGTTAGGGTCACCGAACCACAAGAGGAGACTATATTATTAAATTTCAATTTTCGAAAAAAAAATTGTCGTATGTTATTTTATTAATAAACGTTAACAATATTGTCGTTGCATACTAAATGTGTAGCAAGACTGTTTGTTTATGTAATTGTATTTAAAATAACGGTCATTTAACGCCGAAAACATACCTATTATCAAATTATTATATGTGATTAAAAAATAATTTCATTGTTACTGTCGTCAACGACAATTTGAAACTTCTTACAACCCTGAACTTCTCCGACAAAACATTAGCGTCACAGAAACTTTTTATATGTAGAAAATACGGTCATTAAGTCGTTGCAAGTGGCGAAGCGTGCATATTCTTCTACTCGATACAAATATGTTATTCTCATGAATTTGATGATCGAATGTGTTGACTGACTCACAGCGAATTTGAGAGTTCGCTCGCGAACCTAATGCTTCAATTCGGCAAAATAAAACATAAAAACTTCTACTACCAAATACATGGTAAGAAAAAGAACCATTGTAGATATTCATTGCCGTTGATGGTCTAACGATATTTTAATTGTAGATAAAATTCTCTATTAAAATTTATCCAACGGTAACGTATGCCAATATTTAAATAGTTCTAATTAATCCTGAACAATTTGAATTATTAATACTAAGAACTTGTTAAAATTTGACCTTGGGTGAGTCCTATGTCCAGCAGTGGAATTCTGTCACGTGATAATGATACTTTGACAGTTTTCGCTGCGACTAGGACTAAACATACTTAAACACTGGTTATTTGAAATAACTGTATATCTGAATTAAGCGAAACGATTACTACTTATACAGTATTTACAATTCGATTGCATGATGAGAGTGCGAAAGAAGAAAACACGTTCATAATTAGTGATTAGTGAACTGATTGGGAGATTTAAGTTTTAAATTGTGCTCAACACTCTGTGCTTCAAATTTGGTCTAGTTTGGTTTCTTCGTACAGATTATATATATATATATTTTGTAAACTATATGTGGCGTTTGGGTGATTTGTTTGTTTGTGGTGGTTGGGGCCAGAAAGTTCTTGAGTGAAGACCGCGTACCGGAAGACGTAGCGTGGGTAGGCCTCCCACAAGATGGACCAACGATCTATTGAGGTTCGCGGGGATCCACTGGATGCAGGCAGCGTAGGACCGGTCTTTGTGGCCAGACTTAGGAGAGGCGTATGTCCAGCAGTGGACGTCTGTGGGCTGATAATATGTGGGGGTGTGATGAACTGTGATGTATTTGGAAAAGAAGAAACCCTGAATCTCGCTCCGAATCTATTCAGTGATGAAACTGCATTCCGAATGTACCGTATAGTCATGAAATTTCGATTTGCCTGACAACTCACGCTTGAATGAAATAGTTTTGATTGTTTTGTTAGTTTTGTTGATCTTTGAAAGGAGAATACGAGATCAAATCAACAAAACTAGTAAAAGCTACAAAAATATTATGTCTTCAATCAGTCGTTATTGACATTAGAAACAATAACTCAGACACTCGCTATCATCGCTTACATACAAAGCAATATAAATTAGTTCCATACCACAGAGCACAACGTACCGAGTAATTCTACTAAAAAAAAAAAAACTTCGAATAAAATTATCCATAATTGTGTTATAATAGAGCGTCTAACAGATAATGGTCATAAATTGAATGATAATTACGTTAACCAGCAAATAGTGGCAACACCTGCAATTATTGATACGGTTATTTTTTTAATATAACAAACGGCTTTATGTTTTTAAGTAACTTTTATAAAAATAATTCTGATCGTGACATGGTTACGATAATGTCAATGGTGGTTTTGATAATGATTTAGAATGGTCAATTGACATTATTAGATGATTTGTTATATTAATTAGTTTCCTTTTCTTATTTTTTAATGTTCTAGTTTTCGTTTCTATCATGACTATCCTTTTGTCGTTTACTAAAAAAAACTCATTAACAATCATCTCCTCTGTACGTGCTATTTTAAAATGTTCCTACCTATGCTGATAGCCTTAAAAGGCTATTTCAGTTTCACCCTAACGTGTAAGTGAGCTCACGGAGCTCAAACCGGAGTGTTGCTAACACTGGCCCTAGCAAGAGCAATGCTTCGCAGAATCTACCACCGTATCGGAGACGCGACCCACTGAGAAGATCCGGCGAGAAACTCAGTGGGCTGTGTTCATGGGTTAATTCGCTCGTCGAGCCCTTCGTCGCAAGCGACGGGTTCGACGAGGACGGTGACCGATGCTTGTGGTACCTAAAAGCACCGTTAATGGATCAGGAGGATCCGTAGTAGCGTATGTTGGGCGACGTCAACTGTTTACCATTCGGTCTACAGCATCGGGTATGTTGTTTCCAGCGGCCACGACAAGAGGGTTCTCATGTCGTGCCGCCTTTTCAAAGTGGCGCAATTACAATGTATGGAACGCATAAGATACTACATTTTTCTTTGCGTTGTTGAATATCCCAACAAAAAAAAACTTCAACATATACTTCAACTTTGTAAGAAAAAACGCATTGATACCCCGAATACTTCATTAACAAACTTAAATTCAATAAACGACAATTTAAAACAAAACTAATTTGATAGGCACAAAAACTCCCACATACATACACATACACTCAATTAATTTAGAACAACAAAAGAAATGTCGATGTGAATAAAAAGGACATCCTGATTAAAATGAAAAACAAAATCCCTAAACTGATTTACTGGCACTCCATGCCCCCATCACTTGAGCCTTTCTCTTAAATTGGCGGGATCTTAAATCTAAGAACACAGTTTTTGTTCTCATCCAATTCAGCACGGATATTCTCGTTCAATGGCTTGTTTTTGGGTTCGATTGCAGCCATAATTTGAATAGGCCATATGATATGACATATTTTATTGGAGGTCTCGTAAGGTATAGGCAAATTAGGCGGATATATCAATCTCGTTTTGTGCGGCCGTTTTTGTTGGCGGTATCCTTTCGGTGTCCGGAACGTATGAATACGCTTGGATTGGCCGAAACAAAGAGTATGTTAAGTCAGTATTTGGTTCAGAATTTTCGTTGGATGACGTTTCTTTAACGTCACTTGTCAAGGATTACTGTGATGTCTTATCCGTGCTTTTTTTGTGTTAATGGAGAATATTTTTGTATGTTTTATTTGTAATGTTCGTTATTTTGTTACATTATCCTCTTTGGAGTCTTAAATATAAAGCGGATAAATCTATGCTTTGGTGTGACCAAGTTACCAAGATCATTGATAAAAGTCAAAAAGAAAAATTTTAAACAAATGTAATATCTTTTTCATTCTTCTTAAGTCGTTGACATAATAAAACTACCTACTTTTACGATTTATTCCTTCGTTTTTTTTTGTAGTCATTATATTATTTCCGAAATTTCGAATCAATTTATATACAGCTTACGGGGTTCTATATCTACAGTTGACGAATGATGTTCGTCAGTCCGTAAAGGTAGTTTTAATTATTTTAAACAATCCCTCCATTTTCCATTTAAAGATCAATGACGTCTCAAAACGCAACACACCTACGATGATATTGAGATTGTATGTAAATAAACTTTTCAATCTCAACGGTCACAAATTTGGATTTTGTCCTCTACCACTCTCAAAGCTCGAAGCTCAAAGCTTGAAATTAAATAATGAAGAAACTATTAAGTGAGTTATTAGTGTTCAGTATTACTCTTGTCCCGAAGTATCTCTATACTCTCAATATCAAATATATTTAACAAACACACAAACCGACCGGTCATATTATCTAGTCATCAAAGTAGCAAAATCGATTTATAAATATAATCGATAACATTTTTTTCGATCCATTATAGATGACATTTTTTAATTTAAATAAGCTTCTAACTAATAAAAACTTACTCTTATTCCATAACACGGATAAATCCGCGTACAGTTTCAACAACAAATTAACCAAACTCCAGGGTTGGCGCAAACAAACAAATAACCGAACGCAACCCCACGCAAACTGCTCTTGTTTACTTTGTTAGCGGTCAGACAAACAGCAAAAATGGTCTGCGGGTAAC